AACTTCCCCCCCCACACACCCCCCCCCCCATCCCACCCACCCCACCCATAGAAATATTGAAGTAATTCCTGACTTCTTAGAACTTGCTATAGAATATGCATGGAAAAATTTCTGCACTACAATAACAAATGATCATGTAATCCACGATGCCTGTTTTGCTAGACACTTCACCAAGCTTACATTTCAACGGTAAAATCATATTTGAGAAAATATTGAAAATGTTGGGATATTATGATTGATATTAAATATTGTAGCGTCACAGAATTTAAATCTTCTATCTTATTTTCAGTTTTCCTGCCATTAGCAGGAATTTTTTTATTTGGACAGATCAAAACTTATTATTGGTTACAGCCCAAAAAAGCAAATCTCTACCCTGCTATTCATGCAACAGCAGCCACCATCTCTAATGCATGCACTCTAGGCTCTTAGAGAGTTTGTTTCCAAAGGGAATTCAGATGATAGATTGATATTGATTGATGATAAAAGAACTTTTCATTAACATAATCTACCCTTTTATTTGCATAGCATTTCCATTCTAACAGAATAATATTCTGGAACATATTCATCAAGGTGTCTGAAATAGTTCTGATTTTTAATAGCATAGAGCATTACATAACACAACGTGATAGCAGAATAAACACTAAAATTAGGAGAAATATAATGCCAGGAACACTAAATCTCAAATGTTAAGGGACCACTAGAATGTAATGGAAAGCAATTCTGTCAAACACTTGACATAGGTTTTGAGCACATACTTTAAATTCCCCGACAGCCTACCAGCAAGGTTCTTTCACAGAAATAACCTACATAACATTTGCTAACTCAGCTTATCTAAAAAAAAGAATCAGAATCAATGGATTTTTAAGGAAATAAATTGTTCATCAACAGGGACGCAATGGAGAGACATCAACTCAAATTAGGACGCAGGTAAAACAAAGCAGAAGCGTCAACAATTATAAGAAAATGCTTGAAGGTGTCTAACTAGTTAATCTTATCCCCTACATTAAATAGCAGGAATATCAGCATTACCATGGTAAACTAACCTCCACGATACCATCATACCAGGATGGAGGGATCTGAGCCAAATATCAATGTCGTGTCCCGATTTTTATTTTTGATGAACAGCATAATGCACGTTGCTCTAATTAATACTGAGAACATCATTATATCTCCCATGCTGTAACTTCAACATGCACCTCACAGCAACTGGAACCACTCATTCATTGATCAGTATGACAACTTAATGAATTCTGGAAGAGCTGATACGAAGGATAGGGAGGATTTTTCGGTGTTTGAGAGCATTTAATCATTAAATACTCATTTCAAATACAGAATGGATTGTGCAAATATTCAGTAGAAGCTATGATTGAGGACTCCTGATTGAATAAACGTATTTAATAGTTCACTCATTAAATGTAAAAACCAAGGGGTATTTTTTGCCTCTCATGGAAATCAAGAGAATTTTCTATGCCTCATGGTCCATTGATCCATAGAAAAGCACCATCTTGTTCTGGTTCCAGGGACACTATCACTTGTTTATACAGCCTTATTAACTCCGCATATATTTCTTTACTTTGAGGATGTGAAGTATCATTAACAAAAAAGGTATGGCTTTTACTTCCCACTTGAATCCAACTAGAACCAGGTTCCTTGCGGAGATTTTTTTCTTTCATTTCTTTTCTTAATCTTCCAACAGCATTCCACATACCAACAGAAGCATAAAGATTTGATAGAAGAATATAAGCAGATTCGTTTTCAGGATGAATTTCAAGAAGTTTTCTTGCTGCAACTCTTCCCAGCTCAACATGTCCATGGATACTGCAGGCAGATAGAAGAATTTGCCATATATGAACATCAGGTTGAATAGGCATATGATCTATGGTTTTCTTTGCATCTTCCAGGAGCCCAACTCGACCAAGCAGATCAATCATGCAGGCATAATGTTCTAAGCGTGGGATTATTCCATGAAGTTCAAACATAGAGTCTAAGTAGTGGCGTGCTTCTTTCACAAGCCCTCCATGGCAGCATGAACTAAGAACACCAAGATAAGTTATCTCATCAGGTTCTATTCCAAATTGAGACATTTTGTTAAAGAGATCAAAAACTTCTTGATAACAACCATGATGGGCGTATCCCATCATCATGGCATTCCAAGTAGCCAAACTGTTCATAGATGAAATCCTGAATGCTTTCTTTGCTTGTCCAATGCTTCCGCACTTGCAATAAATGTCGATGACAGAACTTTCAACAAAGCTATCCTGATCAAATCCAGTTTTTAATACTAGGGAATGAACTGCTCTTCCCAGTTGCATATCTGTTATAGCACTACAAGCTTTAAGGATAATGCTGAAAGTTCTACTGTCCACTTTATGGTGCGAGCTCCATATGGTTTGATACAATGCCAAAGCATCAGTATAATAGCCAGCACGGACAAAAGTAGTTATCATCGTATTCAGATGAACCAAGTTTACCTTATCAATCTCAGCAAACACCCTTTTGGATTCATCCATACTGTTGCATCTCCCATACGCTGTTATCAAGCAAGAAATCATAGAAACATCAAACATGAATCCACATTTAACAAGAAGTGAATGGATTTGTATCACCTGCTTTGTATTGTTTGAATTGGAAACTGCTTCAAGAATGCTAGCCAGAGTATGTATAGTAGGCTGCAGTGACAACTCACGCATCTGATAGAACACCTCTAGAGCCTGATTAACAAATCCATTCTCAGAACATGCAGAGATCAGAGAATTCCAAGAAACAGAATCTCGTATAATCATGCCATAAAAAACTCTACAAGCATCGCAGATTTGCCCACACTTCCCATACATGGACACCAAAGCATTGCCGACAGAGACCACCTGGAAATACCCCGTCTTATGACAAAGTGCTTGAATCTGCTTCCCTGCATTCAAAAACTTCACTCCTCCAATCAATGACAAAACATTAATTAATGTATACCCATTCACATCCAAACCTAAGGAAAGTACAATTCTAAACAACTCCACAGCTTCATGACCATCAGAAGCAGTTCCTATTCTCTCAGTCCAAGAAACAACATCTGGTTCAGCAATTTCATCAAACACCTTAATAGCATCAACCTCTCTTCCACACCTAGCGTACATACTCATAATAGAATTGCTAAAATGCATTGAAGAACCACGTAAAAATCCCATCTTTACACCAAAACCATGAATTTGCTCCCCTTCTCTTACATCAAACAAAGCCCCGACCACACCAGTTAAGCTATATGCATTTAACTCTAAACCTAACCCTCTCATTTCAACAAAAACCTGTTTTCCCTTCTCAAACTGCTCATTCCACACATACCCATTAACCATAACAGTACAGACCACATTATCCAAATCTAAACACTCCTTAAAACACCTCTCAGCTGACCCCAAATCTCCATTCTTTGAATAATTGTCAACCAACCCACTAATCACAAAGCTTTTAGACCCAAACCCAAGTTTTAAACAAACCCCTTGAGAAACCCAATTCTCTCTCAAACTCACACACCCTTTAATTAAAGAACTCAAAGTAAACACATCAGGCACCAAACCCAAATGCCTTAATTCATTGAAAAGCCCCAAAACAGTTCTAGAATCATTAGCCCTTGCAAACCCGGAAATGATTGCGTTGTAAGTGATGATATCGGGGTTTTGTGTTTCTAAGAAGAAAGAAAGAGAGCGAGAGAGATTGTTGTTGTTGTTGTTGTCAAGTTTGGAGAAGTGAGAAATGAGATCTGTGGATAAGTAAGGGTCAAGAAAGTGACCTGATTTGATGAAGAGAGAGTAGGTTTGGTCGGTGAGGAGTGGAGATGACAAAGTGAGTGAGGATTTGAGAGCTTGAGGGTAATCTTTTTGGGAGATTAGGGTTTTGAATTGGGAGAAGGAGAGAGTTTGTGCTGGGGCTCTTAGCTTCTTCATGCATGCATGGTGGTGGTGATCAAAGAGGTTGTGGCTTGCTTGTGAGAGGTTTTTTAAGGGTTTAAGCAACTAACAGGTAGTTATAAATTATAATGACTGCTAAACGCGGGAAATGAAAGGAGGGTTGAGTGGAGAAATGAGGCAAATCCGTCCGAATCATGCAATGCTTGTTGGCGGTTTCAGCTAATTTTTTTTCATGAAATACGTTTTTAAAGTTAATTTCAAACTGCAATTATAGTACTAGGTAGTTTTTTTTCCGTGCTCTCACTGGGATAGGATTACAAAAAATTGGTGCAAAAAAATAATATTTAAATTGTTGAAAATATTTTAGTATTTTCATATAATGATTTAAATTTAAAAACTATCAAACAAAGTATTTACTTGACTTAGATTTTTAATTAAATTTTATAGGAGTTGTAACATTCTAAGAAAAAAAAATTTAGGTCAAGTCAATTTTAGTTAATTCATTAAACTCATAACTTAATTATTAACTGTATTCTAAGAAAAAAAATTATAGGTAAAGTCAATTTTAGTTAATTCATTAAATTTATAACTTAAATGGTAGAATTTTTGAGAAAAAATTATATATATTTTTTATTTTATAATAAAAAATATAAAAATTAATTTGTAATCAAATCAATATTAAATCATGAAATTTAATAAAAAAATTAAAATAAAAAATAAGCAAAAGATAAAACAATTGCAAAAAATAAATTCAAATCGCTTGTAGTTCATTATTCATATTTTTTATAAAAACAATTGCAAAAAATAAATTCAAATCGCTTGTAGTTTATTATTTATATTTTTTTATATTTTATATAATTTTAAGAATAAAAATTAATATCAAGAGTAATAGATAAAGTAAATGCTATAACAAATATAAGAAAAAAAACACCTATATGAAGCATCTTCTTCAAGATTATGGGAAAATGATGGGAATTGAACCGCACATGGTGGATATATAATAATATACTATTTTGATCCGCTTCGTTATTTACTCGTAACCTTTCTCTCATTCTTATTATTATACAAAACTTCTATATAAACTGAATTTATGTATATTAAAATGGTTTAATTTATTGGTCCAATAAGCACTAATCTTGTAATGAATTCATGCGCTTCATTGACATAAACCAGTCAATTACCAAGTTTGTAAAAACAAAAAAAAAATACTTTTTTTTTGTCAAGATCACACTTAATCTTTGCTTAAAAATGTTACGCTATATGAAGAAGAGATGTTTGGATTAGCCTAATTAGATCTATAGAATTCATTATTGTCAAGTCCAAAGCCCTTAAAATTGAAAAGAGCTCAATAGGGTCTTCTTTTTTTTGTTTTTTTGTTCTTGTAAGGTATTACTATCTAGCTCTTTTTTTTATGAAAAAAAAAAAACAAATGATAGTCATTTATCACATAATATATATATCTCTTGAAGCTCAAACCCGCAATCTCAACTCATTATACATATGTGCTAACCAAAATATTATAAAATAATTAAAAATAATATATTAAAGTAGTTAACGGTTCATCTAAACAGTTAAGTCAACTAATATTCTTTTATGTGTATATGTGATGGGGGGGGTAAGTCGTAAAAAAAATTTAAATAGAAATTAAATTTTTTATAATTATGTTTTGAGTTTTTAATGCGACTAGGCATTTTTTATTGGAATAGAAAACCTTTAAATGTTTAAGTCAACAAATAAAAGAGGAATGTGGTGTGTTAACAACCTGTCACAACTTGACACTACCAACAATTGTGAAAGTCGATTGAGAAATAAGCATGAGATACTTGAAGAAAAATGGTGAAAACTTTCACAATCTAGACTCAATTACTAGAAAAACGTTGAGTGATCTTGAAGCTCTAACAATAATATATTCAAACCAAGATGATAATCCAATCAGGCTTATAAAATCAGTAAGTCCAAACTTACAATAATTATGTATGGTAGTTCAACAAACTTACAGGGATTCTATACTCTTAATTTTTTTATTATCAAGCTGTCATCGTAACAAACTTCTCTGTCATGAAGTTGTCATCACAACAAATCAACATTGTCATCAACTAGATTTCATGGGATTTTTTTTTATTTTACAACTGAATCATTATATTTTATTGGTATAAATACTTTATTTGTACAACCTAGTCGTTCATGTTAAAAAGAAATAAAAACATAAATTGAATATTCATTTTCAAAACACTCTGTTAACTCAGCTTTTTTTTTTATGGTGTATATAAAAGAAAATACAAGAAAAAATTATTAAATGAAGAATGAGTGTATTCTACCAAACCTAGTTTTCAATAGCTAAATAAAGTTATACCAGGATAATATCTTAATTTTGTTTAGTGATTGGATGTATTTATAAACTCAATCCTTAAGCTTTATTTTAAAAGAAGTAAATTGTAATCAATGGAAAAACTGGTGTGCTATCATTAATTAGTCATGATGACTTCATTGGTTGTTGTGATATGTTATTATTGTTATTTTATACACATCATTGGTGAAAATATTGTTGAAAAACAATGTTATTGATGAAAAAATATTGTTTGCTCCGCATTAAAAAAGTTGTGTGCATAGAAAAATTTGTGCGGAACCTAGAAAAAAAATACATAAAAGGATTTGTTAGGGTATGATTACATAGACCAAGTCAATGTTAGGGATGTAGTTCCTATCATTTAGGCCAATCCCAATCGAATGAAAAAAATATATTTTTAGAGAAATTTGATATTATTATCTATCCTAAATAGTCATGTTTGGAAAACTTTAATGAACAAAAATAACCAAAAAAATACTTACCATAAAAATGTTAGCTTTTGTTTGTAAGAAAAATGTTACATTTATGGTTATGCTTGGATGAAGAAATGTTATGTTTGTGGCTTTTTTTTAATATAAGAGTTTTACCTATAAATAAGATGAGATTTTATCAAGTTCTAATAAATAATATTTTTATCTAAAAAATAAAATATATTTTCTAATAAGAAGATTTTGTTTGAAGATGTAGAATTTTGAATGTGGATTCCAATGAAGATTTTTTATAGAGTGATGAAAATTTTAATAGATACATGGACATTTTATCATGGAGATCTATTTATAGAGATTTTTCATAAAAATATGTTTAGATATATATGGAGAATTCAATGGAGACATAAAGATATCAGTATAAATATTTTCACGAAGTTAAAAAGAATCTAATGAAGATATAAAGATCTTGTTGTAGAAATTTCAATGGAGAAACATTGCTACTTTATTAAAAAAATCCCAAATATGAAGATATAATTTTTAAGACAATCCAAAGACTATATTATCTCGATTAGCTTTTTTGTAGAATATGCAAACTTGATTCCATTCTTGTTCTAGTTATCCTTGTTTCTTGACAAATTTTGAAGATATCTTTTAACAATCATTTCTTCTTCTTTTTTTTTAGTGCATGAAATTTTTTATTGTCATGCCTATGGTTATGATAAAATAAATAAAAACTATTAGGTTTTTTATGTTTGATTTATTTTTCTAGGTGATTGCTATCAATATTTTAGTGTGTTAGTCGTTAAGCATTTTAAAAATTTATTCAAGATTGGGATTTTTACTTAAAAATAAGATGAGGCTAACTTTTTGCTGAGGTCTAAAAGACATGATTGTTTACTAGGAGACTAACATATGATCGGAACAACAAGTGATTTTTTTATTTATTAATATGAATATTCAAGTCAATTTACGTATATCTTGATTAATCTTATAAACCCTAAAATTAATGATTATACAAACACAAATACTTTTTTTTTTGACATGGTATAAAATGACAGTTAAGATAAAAATAATTTTTTATTATATTAATATATTTTAAAGAAACAAGCTTAAGAAAGTACACTTTTACATTATTATTATTATTTTTTTGTTGGATCCCATGTTCACAATTCATAGATTTTTAGACCGGAAGCATAGCATTGATAACACAAATGTACATGTGATCTCTAAAGTAGTTAACTTTCGTGTATTTAAATACACTTTTCCATTATTTTTCATACAATTAAACGGATAAATAAACGTATTTCATAATGCATCATAGGAAAAAATCAATGAAACGGACCAGCAGGCGAGCCAACACAGCACGACAAGATAGTACTAGCTCATGAAACATGGGCCTAGGCCAGTACTAAGCCTAGAAGGTAAAAAGAACAAGACGGCAGGGTTTTCCGCTCTGCGTTTCTAACTGTGAGATTGTTCCTATCCACCGTCCATGTTACATACGTGTAATCCTAGGTATAGTTTTTGTTTTCGTTTTTATACGTTTTTTTAAAAAAATTTATTTTATTTTTTTAGTGTTTTTTAATGTTTTTTGTATACTGATATTAAAAATAAAAAATATAAAAAATTAATTTATTTTACAGTATTTTTTGATAAATAACTATTTTTAAAAACACATGGTCCTCCTCTCAAACTCTTCGGGCTCTCTCACTGTGTCTGCCCTCCAAAAGCTCGCCGACACCGTTTGCACAGACAGACACAAACACCACTCAATTTAATTTCTTCAGAAATTCTTTAAAAAATGAACCACTCAATTTAGTTTAAGTTATCGAGATCGTAGAGTCTACAGGACTTGAAAAGTTTTAGTCGCAGTGAGCCCGGTCCCTGTTTCTTTCCATCACTGTCGACGTGGCTAGTTTTCTTCTCTTTTGTGGGTTCCAGCTTGCCAGCCAGATTCTCCCAGTCAAGTTCACGAGGTTGTTTTGAGTTTTGTAAATTTTTAATTGTTTTTATTTTTAATTATTTTGTTATATTTTTGGATACTAATTTTAAAAATAAATTTTTAAAAATAAAAAATAAATTATTTTGATATATTATCAAGTAGAAAATAATTTCTACCATTATTTCTGGTTTATTTTTTTAATTTATTTTATTTTTATAATACATCCAAATTCAAATTACTTCCACGACGGGCATGTGATCCTATTTTCCGTCGTCTGTCCAAACAAGATTGTTGAAGAGTTGTTTTCAAGCTAGCTGTGATTTTCAACGGTAAGACATTTTTTTTTTCCTCGGACAATTTTAGCATAAAGTAACTTTATCTATAGATTATTATGCTCTCGGAATTCTAATCAAAGACACGGGTGAAGAAGTTCCT